CGGCTGGCAGCCTCAGGCCCTGGGTAGGGCTTGGCATAGGTACTGTCATAGCAGAAGAATCCCTGGGTGTGCACGGGGAAGGTGTCCGTGAACTCCAGGCGGTAAGCAAGCAGGATCACAATGCCCAGCAGCACCGACTGCCACCGAGCCAGGGCAGGGAGAGGCGGTGGAGAGAGAAGAGAGAGAGTCAGGGGTGAGGCCACAGAGGCAGAGATACGAAGATGGAGAGACCTGGGTTAGAGACAGAAGGTGGAAGACGGAAAGAGATGGAGACAAGGGGGAGAGAGACTGAAAGAGTTGGGGAAAGGAGGTGAGAGAATGGTCAGGGCTTAGGAGAAACAGAAAGAAGAGGAGGCAGAAACAGAGAGAGGCCATGTGCAGCGGCTCGTGCCTGTAATCCCAGCCCTTTGGGAGGCTGAGGCGGGAGGATCGCTTGAGCTCAGGAGTTTGAGATCAGCCTGGGCAACATAGCATGACCTCATCTCTGCACATCTGTAGTCCCAACTAGTTGAGAGGCTGAGGAAGGAAGACTGCTTCAGCCCAGAATGTTAAGGCTGCAGTGAGCCATGATGGCACCACTGCACTCCAGCCTGGGTGCCAGAGGGGGACGCTGTCTCAGAAAAAAGAAAGAAAAAGGAATGAAGAAAGACAGAAAGAAAGAAAAGAAATAGGTGGCTCACACCTATAATCCCAGGACTTTGGGAGATCGAGGCAGGTGGATCACCTGAGGTCAGGAGTTTGAGACCAGCCTGGCCAATATGGCAAAACCCTGTTTCTACTAAAGATACAACAATTAGCCAGGCATGGTGGTAGATGCCTGTAATCCCAGCTACTCGGGAGGCTGAGGCAGGAGAATCACTTGAACCCCGGAGGCAGAGGTTGCAGTGAGATCATGCCACTGCACTCCAGCCTGGACAAAAGAGTGAGACTCTGTCTCAAAAGAAAGGAAGAAACAGAGAGAGAGAAAGGGAAGTGAGGGAAGGAGGGGAGAAAAGGAGAAAAAAAGCAAGAGAAGAGAGAAGGGAAAGAAGGGAAGGGAATTGTAGAGAGGGAGAGAAGAGATGGGCATGGGGAGAGAGAATAGGGCCAAGGCTCAGATGAGAGACAGACAGACAGCAGGTGGTGGAGAGACTCTCCCACAAGGAAAGAAATCAGAGGTTAGCAGGAGTACGAGCAGCTACCACAGGTCTAACCCTAACTGTGGGCAGGGGGGTCATACCAAACCTTGTCCACGAATTAATACATTTTACCTTTGCAATAGCCCTAGGAGGCCGAGTGCGGTGGCTCACACCTGTAATCCCAGCACTTTGGGAGGCTGAGGTGGGAGGATCACTTGAGGCCAGGAGTTCTAGACCATCCTGGCAAACATGTTGAAATCCCATCTCTACCAAAAAATACAAAATTAGCCAGGCGTGGTGGTGCACACCTATAGTCTCAGCTACTCAGGAGGCTAAGGTGGGAGAATTGCTTGAACTTGGGAGGCAGAGGTTGCAGTAAGCCGAGATTATGCCAGTGCACCCCAGCCTGGGTGACAGAGTGAGAGCCTATCTCAGGGAAAAAAAAAAAAAGCCCTAGGAGATGGGATGCTGGTGATGCCCATTTTATGAATGAGGAAACTGAGGCTCAGGAGGGTACCTGCGGTGTCCAGCAGCCTGCAGTGTCGATAGGGCAGAGGGGAATTGGACCCTGGGGAGTGGCACTTCTGAATCCAGGCTCATGACCACTTCTCAAGAGAAAGGGGGCAGCAAGGGAGATCCCAGAGACGGAAAGTGGGTACAGATAGGAAGACGGAGGTCGGACAGAGAGACAGAGATAGGCACGCCCTCTCTGGGAGAGAAATGGAAGTCCTCACCTCCACGAAGACAAAGCAGGGGATGATGGAGAAACTCCTCTTCAGATGTGGTCTCCCTCCCGCCATGGTGAAGGCCAGGCCTGCAGAGTGAGGAGGCAGTGGGAGTCCCAGGGCTGTGCCTAGGGGAAGGCTCAGGTCACTGGGACTCTGGCTCCATCCCGGAGTCCTTTGGCCACACCCCTGCTCCTGACGATGGGTCCAGAGGAAGCCCTGACTCCACCCCTTGAGCCTTCTGGCCATGCCTCTGCAATCCAGGCCCCACCCTGTTGGTCCCAACCCTATTGGGGACACCCACCTCCCCTGAAACCACTCCCTGAGATTCTGGAGATTCTATAAGGGTCCCCTTCCTCTACAGCTGACAACGGAGACTCTGAGCCAGTGCCTTTTAGGAGATGGTCCTTGAGAAGAGACTCTCCAGCCTCATGGGAACCCCTCCCACATGGCATTTAGAAGGGCCCCCAAGGCCAGGTACAATGGCTCACGCCTGTAATCCCAGCACTTTGGGAGGCCCAGGCGGGTGGATTACCTGAGGTCAGGAGTTTAAGACCAGCCTGGCCAACATGGTGAAACCCCCTCTCTACTAAAAATACAAAATTAGCTGGGCTTGGCGGCAGGCAACTGTAATCGAAGCTCCTTGGGAGGCTGAGGCAGGAGAATCACTTGAGCCCAGGAGGCAGAGGTTGCAGTGAGCCAAGATTGTGCCACTGCACTCCAGCCTGGGCAACAGAGTGAGACTCTGTCTCTCAAAAAAAAAAAAAAAAAAAAAAGAATCCCCACTAGTTTTTAGGGAACCCCATCCTCTTTCCCAAGGGGCCCCCATCCCTGCCAGGCCCTTTCCCTGAGTCCTTTCCTCCATGGCTCCACAGGGGCTCCTCTCTCTGTCACCATGGGCTGTGGTGTTGGTGTCTGATTGGGCTGATAGCCAAGCCCTCCTTCTCTGCCAACTGCTTCTCCCTCCTTCCCCCTCTTCCCAGCCGGTCTGCCTCCCAGTTCTCCTCTTCCCTCCCCCAAGGCTACCCCCAGTCCCCATCGCTTCAGGGCTCAACACAGTCACACCTGCGTACACCCATTCTTCCAGCCCCGTCTCACCTGTGAAAGCGCCCTATGGCTTCCCCCAGGCTGCATCCACACCCGCAGACTCACAGCTGCTCCTGGTGGCCAGCAGGGCAGGGCTGGTCACCCCCATTGTGCAGATGTGGAAACTGAGGCCCAGGCAGGTGAGGGTAGGCACTCTGGGTCCAGCGCCCCAACCACGACGCTCATTCTGTAGTGTGATATGGGGTGATGGTCGCCAGAAGTCCTAGAAACCCAGAGTCACCCATGCTGGCACCCCTAGGAAGCACAACCCAGCCACAGCCTCCATCCTACCCCCACCCCCACCCCCAACACACAGCACAGCGTTCATCCATCCCACAGTAAAGACTGGGCACTAGCCGACTTCCAGGCAATGTGCTGGACGCCACTTTGCAGTGAACAAGAGGGGGCCGCTCGTTCAGACAGGTGTCCAACACACAACAAACGTCACTGCATACTCACACACAGTGGGCACACAGCCTGTCAAAGACACCCAAACAGATCAAACAAGTCCCCACCCCCCACCCCGGGCCAAACAAAGAGAAACACATCAGGAGACCCTACACACATCATAGTCCCACACAAGCCCTCACCCCGCCACAGTCAGGGACACACAGGCCTGCAACACACTTAAAGAGTCACAGCAAAGAAAAAGTCACTGCACACAATGGGGGTCACAGAACCCATCAGAGCGTCACACCCCCAATTACAAGGCACTCAGTAACAGCCACACACACACTAACAGTCTCTTATTCACACCGACAGTCATAGGGGAGAGACACGGTACCATCCACAACCACAGCCACATGGCCACTTCCACGGACCATGGCACAGACTCAAAACGCCACACAAGAAAGGCGCACGGCGCACAACCACAGCCACACACACACACACACACACACACACACCATCAGAATAAGCACACAGCAGTAGCCACACAATGACAGTTTTACTGTCATTGCACACAACCACACAGACGCCAAGACAGTCACACACAGAGACAGCAGCCACACGGGGGGCCAATGGCAGCCACAGCACAGCCACACACACACACAATCCGAGTGACACCCACAACGACAGCAGCACAATGACAGTGACACACACCCGCGGACCTCCCGAAGCCGCACAATCCCAGTCGTGCAGCCACACGATGTCAGTTACACAACCACACACAGACACACAATGACAACCACACAATCACAGTTACCCACGGCCACCCTCACCACGGGCGCTGGGCTCCTCCGCCCAGGGTCTCCTCCCCCAGCTCCGTCCCCTCCCCCGCACCCCCGCCGCCTCCCCTCCCCCACCCCTCCCCGCGTTGGACCCGGAGGCACCAGACCCTCAGGAACCGCGGAACAACGCCGGGGGTGGGAAGCCCACCAGAGGGGATGAGGGGCGCCCCTAGTCCCTCTCCTCACCGCGTCGAGACCGCAGTCGCCTGAGACCCCGCTCCACCTAGATGGCCCCGGCGCGGCGAGACGGACAGACGGCCGGCCCGGCTGGCAGGCGCCGAGACCGAGCTGCGGTCGGCCGGGCCGGGCAGCGCCGCGCAGACTCCGAGGCGGAGGGAGGGGCGGGGCCTCCGGGCGCCTCCTTTGCATAGCCCCCCGTAGGGCGGGGCCTTATTAGCGGGGTGGGGCGGGGCCTCCGTGCTCTTGGGGGCGGGGCGTGTTAGCATCAATTGCGGGAAGGAACCAAGAATGGATGTAAAGAGGGAAGACCCTGGGGTTGGGGAGGGCTCCAAGGGTAATAGGAGGGAGGGGCTTCAGAGCATGTCCGTGCCCCTTGCTCTCTGAGCCTCAGTTTCCCCATTCACCAGGGCCCCCCAGAAAGGAAGGCTCTATGGCCGGCATGGAAGTCTGTTTGGTCGCTCGTATCTGGACAGAATGACTCCTTGCCTTGTCATGTATTAAATCTGGCTTCACCATGTCCCCTGATTCCAAGCCCACACATCCCAAAAGACCTCTCGGGTCTCTACACGCCTCCCCCTCAACACCGAAGAGTAAATTGGGAGGGCAGGGGGATTCCTAGCACAGGAAGCAGCAGGACTAACAGTCCAGGGCGAGAAGAGGGTCTCGGCTAGTTTATTTTCTCTCTGGAGGGGTCTTCAGGGAGAGCAGTCCCGGCTGCTCAAGCTGTGGAGAGAGAGAGTGGGTCAGGGCCTGACCAGGTCCGGGGGACTCTGGGGCTGCAGGACAGGGACCGAATGTCCAGATCGGGATCTGGGCCTGTCCCAAGGGTCTAGACTGGGAGTCCAGGGCCGGTCAGGAGGGGAATGGGTGGGTGAGTGGGGGGTGGAAATCATCTGCACCATGTGGGAAGGAACGACGACTCTTGCTGAAAGGTGGCTGAGAGAGGTCCTGGTCAGAGTCAGAGTCAGAGTCCCAGGAGGGGAGTAGATGGCTCAGGTACCGGTGCCCCTTGTGGCCTGCAGGAGGGACAGGTACCCTGAATAGGACCCTCAAGTAACCTCCAAATATATGCCCTGTGTCCCTTCATAGTATAACTCACTGATCCTTAAACCACGACCCCCAAGTCCCTTGAATGTGATTCAATGTGACACCAAATTATGACTTCAATGACCCTTGAATTTCACCCGACTGACACCTTTTTTTGTGTGTGAGATGAGGTCTCACTCTGTTGCCCAGGATGGAGTGCAGTGGAACTATCATGGCTCACTGCAGCCTCAACCTCCCTGGCTCAAGAGATCCTCCCTGCCTCAGCCTCCTGAGTAGCTAAGACTGCAGGCGTGCACCATCACCCCGTTAATTTTTAAATTTTTTGTAGAGATGAGGTCTCACTGTGTTTCTCAGGCTGGTCTCAAACTCCTGCACTCAAGCAATCCTCGCACCTCAGCCTCCCAAATATTAGGATTATAGGCATGAGCCACTGCATGGGGTCCCCATGGACTCATATAAGATCCAAGTGACAGGGCCAGGCATGGTGGCTCACACCTGTAATCCCAGCACTTTGGGAGGCCAAGGCGGGCAGATCACGAGGTCAGGAGATCGACACTATCCTGGCTAACAGGGTGAAACCACGTCTCTATTAAAAATACAAAAAAATTAGCTGGGTGTGCTGGTACACGCCTGTAGTCCCAGCTATTCGGGAGGCCGAGGCAGGAGAATCATTTGAACCTGGGAGGCAGAGGTTGCAGTGAGCCAAGATCGTGCCACTGTACTCCAGCCTGGGTGACAGAGTGAGACTCTGTCTCAAAAAAAAAAAAAAAAAAAAAAGATCCAAGTGACACTGAATGTGACCATGAATGACTCCTGGATGAAAACTCCAGTGACTTCTTAATGTGACCCCAGAATATTACTTAATGTGACAACAGAATAACACCCAAGAGATGGATGTCACTCCCAAGTAGGCTCTCTGAACATAGCTCCCCCAAGTGAAGCTAGACAATGACCTCCCACCCCTGGACAATTCTCAGCTTCCCTCACCCCTGGGGCTTGAGGCCTTGGAACGAGCCCCCAAAGACATGGTGAGGCCGTCGATGGAGTTCTGCAGCACGTGCACAGCAGACCTGCAGGAAGATGAGGAGCCGGGGGTCCTGGGAGACTCCAGACTGCTCAAGGAGTGGACAGCAGGAGGACTAAGGTTGGGTGCTGTGGTGGGGCTGAGTCCTAGGGGGTGAGGGAGCTCTGGACTCAGGTGGGCTCCAGGTTCTGGAAGTCACTGCCAGATCCCGTTTGGGAAAGGAGTTCACATGAGGGTCAGGGGTCAGACTGAGGGCTGGGCATCACCATATGTCACTCAGTTCCTTCTGAAGGTCATCCTTCCAGCAGCCATTGGCTCCCTGTGGTATCTCCTCAGTTCTCCGGCCAGGCAGATGTCTCATAACCCTGCTGCTTCATCTTGGTCAGGATCTGAGGTGGGGAGGGATGAGACAATAGCAATCATAATAATAGTGACGATAGTAAAAGGTGACTGTTACACAGGACTTATTATATGCCAGGCTGCATTCAAGTGCTTAATACTCAGCTAGCACAGACACCTGATCAGGTAGGGATGAGTGTTTGTTGTTGTTATTGTTTGTTTTTTGAGACAGGGTCTCACTCTGTCACCTAGGCTGGAGTGTAGTGATGCTGTCAGGGCTCACTGCAGCCTCAACCTCTCAGCCTCACGTGATCCCCCCATCTCAGCCTTCTGAGTAGCTGGGTCTACAGGCACATGCCAACACACCCAGCTAGTGGTTTTTTGTTTGTTTGTTTGTTTGTTTGTTTGTTTGTTTGTAGAGACAGGGTTTCACCATGTTGCCCAGGCTGGTCTTGAACTCCTGGGCTCTAGCCGTCCACCTACCTCAGCCTCCCAAGTGCTGAGATAACAGGCATGAGCCACCGTGCTCAACAGGATGAGGGTTTTTTTGATACGGAGTTTCGCTCTTGTCACCCAGGCTGGAGTGCAATGGGGCAATCTTTGCTCACCGCAACCTCCGCCTCCCGGGTTCAAGCAATTCTCCAGCCTCAGGTTCCTGAGTAGCTGGGATTACATGTGCCCGCCACCACACCTGGCTAATTTTTGTATTTTTAGTAGAGACGGGGTTTCACCATGTTGGCCAGGCTGGTCTCGAACTCCTGACCTCAGGTGATCTGCCCACCTTGGTCTCCCAAAGTCCTGGCATTACAGGCATCAGCCAGGATGAGTTATTATTACACCCATTATACAGATGAGGAAACTGAGGCTCAGAGAGGTTGAGTGACTTGCCGACAGTAACACAGCAGTGAGGGGCAGAGCTCGGATTTGAACCCAGTCTTCAATCTGATGGCGGAGGCTGACCAAAATCCCCATCCCTCCCTCTCCCATTCCTCCCCAGGCTCCCCATCCACTCACTTTACGGCATTTCACCTGCGTTTTCTGCATTTTCTGAATGTTCACCAGGTTCTCTGAGATCTCATCCTCTTGGGCCTCTGTGGAGGGAGGGGGCTCAAGGGGACAGGGGCTAAAGAAGGACCCCCCCCCCCCCCCGCTCTGCCCCTGGCTGTGGCTCCAGGCACTCACGGAGCTTCTGATAGATGCAGGTCACCTCTTCCCGAACCAGTTCCAGCTCCTCCCACAGGAACTTTTTGCTGAGGGGACAGTGCAGCCTAGACCTACACTCGCTGCCTGACCCCTGACCGCCCATCCCCCTAAGTCTGTCCCCTCCCCACACCTCCCTGTCCATTTCCCCCTCTTTCTACAACCCCCTACCCTCATCCCCATCCTTTCCTTCTGATCCCCAGCCTCCCATTCTTTCAGCTTCTCCCAACGCACCCAGCCTCCTATCACCTGGCCTCCGCCTCCCCACCTCCTGTCCCCCGGCTTTCTACACCCCCAGCTTCCTGCCCTCTCAGCCTTCCCTGCCACCCCGCTTTCTGAACCCCTGGCCCCCTTTTCCATCCCACCTCCAGCTTTCTATCTTCCCTGCCTTCTGGCCTCTCAGTCTCCCATTCCCCAACCCCCACCAGCCACCTTTCTCCCCTGAGCCTCTCATCCTCTCCTCTTTTATTTATTTATTTATTTTTTTGAGGCATAGTCTCACTCTGCCACCCAGGATGGAGTGCAATGGTGCGATCTCGGCTCACTGCAACCTCTGCCTCCCGGGTTCCAGTGGTTCTCCTGCCTCAGCTTCCCCAGTAGCTGGGATTACAGGCACCGGCCCCCATACCCGACTAATTTTTGTATTTTTAGTAGAGATGGGCTTTCACCATGTTGGCCAGGCTGGTCTCAGGTGACCCGCCCATCTTGGCCTTCCAAAGTGCTGGGATTACAGCCATGAGTCACTGCACCAGGCCACATTCTCGCTTGTTGTCCCTCCGGCTTTCCATCATCCCCCAGTCTTCCTCACCCAGGCCTCTGCCATTTCCCTGATCCTGCCTCGGTTCCCAGCTCCTGACCTCCCTTCCCTCCCGGGGACTCCCGCTTGCCCTCCCACCGTCACCCACCTGTCATGGATCTCCTGGGCCAGCAGCTGCAGGCAGCGAGTGGTGCGGGCATGCTGCACCTCCTCACTGTCACGAAGGGTCTTCTCCAGCCCCTGCAGGCCTTGGGCCAGGGCCCCATAAAGCTCCTGCTGGCCCTGCTCCAAAGAGGGTCCCGGCTTGTGCCCCTCCTTCTCTCCCTGGCGGCCTGTGGGACTCAGCACCTCTGCAGAGAGTATGGGACCTTGCCTGAGCCCTGATCCTACCCTGAACCTAGCTTGTCCTAATCTTGACCCAGAACCCAGACTCTCCCAAGAATCTCCCAATTTCTCTCACCCTGGCCTGGCCCAGCTGATCCCAACAGGACCAGCTTCCAGCCTGATTTTTTTTTTTTTTTTTTGAGACAGAGTCTCACTTTGTTGTCCAGGCTGGAGTGCAGTAGTGTGATCTTGGCTCACTGCAACTTCTGCCTCCTAGGTTCAAGCAATTCTCCTTTCTCAACCTCCTGAGTAGTTGGGACTATAGGCGCACACCACTATGCCCCAGCTAATATTTGTATTTTTAGTAGAGATGGGGTTTCGTCATATTGGTCAGGCTGGTCTCAATCTCCTGACCTCAGGTGATCCACCTGCTTTGGCCTCCCAATGTGCTGAGATTACAGGCATGAGCCTCCGAGCCTGTTTTTTTTTTTTTTTTTTTTTGAGTAGAAATGGGGTTTCACCATGTTGTGCCCAGGTTGGTCTCGAACACCTGACCTCCAGTGATCCACCCTCTTCAGCCTCCCAAAATGCTGGCTTTTTTTTTTTTTTCTTTTGAGACAGAGTTTGGTAACCCAGGCTGGAGTGCAGTGGCACAATCTCAGTTCACTGCAACCTCCGCCTCCTGGGTTCAGGCAATTCTCCTGCCTCGGCCTCCTGAGTAGATGGGATTACAGGAGCGCACCACCGTGCCCAGCTAATTTTTTTGTATTTTTAGTAGAGATGGGGCTTCACCATATTGGCCAGGCTGGTCTTGAACTCCTGACCTCGTGATCCACCCGCCTCGGCCTCCCAAAGTGCTGGGATTACAGGTGTGAGCCACCACACCTGGCCTTGCCTGACCTTGATCTCTGGCCAGTCCTAACCTTCAAGCTGCTGAATCTTGATTTGTTGCAAGCAGCTCTCCTTCTCCAGCATGGTCACTGAGTGGTTCAGGAACTCGAAAGCCTGGGGAAAGAGGTCAACCTTGGGGTGACAGGAAGGAGGGGAGGGCAAGGAGAAACAGAGGTTGCTGGCAACAGGGCCAAGGTGGTTCACCTTGGTCTGGGCCTGTAGCTGGCTCTTGAGTGACTCAAGTTCACATCGCAGGAGCTTCTGGGAGTCAGGAATCATCACAATGGTTTTGGCTGTGGGCAGAGGAGAGGGTGGTGAGCCAGCACTGGGAGGGGTGGGGTCTGGGGCAAGGGCAGGGCAGAGGTCAGCAGAGGCTTCGAGTAGCAGTAGGGACAGGGGGTAAGATTTAGAACAGAGGCCCAGTGAGCCTTGGGCAGGAGTGAATGGGTGACCTTGGCAGAGGGTCAGCTGTTGCTGGGGCAGAGGGTAGAGCTAAGAACCAGCAGGTCTTCCCCATACAGTCTCATTGGGAAGGAGCTTTCTTACCTTTGACTTTGGAAGAGCTGGTCTCCAAGGGCTTCTAAGGAAGAGAAACAAGAGGGGAGTAGAAATTTGCCCCTGAGCTGCCTCCTTGTTCACCCCAACCCAGTTTGGAGGGCTGGACAAGAGTTGGATCTCCTCAGTTCTGGGTGTCCCAAACCACAAGTGCAGGCAAAGCTGCACTCCAGGCATATTCATGCACCTCCCCCTTGGGCTACACATGTTCAGAAATGCACTCGTATGGCTGAGAGACGCTCACAGCCAAATCCCCATGGAAGACACGCAACCACACTCTTTGCTTCCATTCATTCCATCATCCCTTCATTTAAGACTTGCTTAGTGAGGGCCTGCTGAGTGCTAGACGCTGTTCTAGGTGTTAAAAACACCCACAGTGGGCATGTTCATGGGAGTCCCTCTGCCTTACAGCCCCTTCCCTAAGCCCCACAGTGGTAGATTGCAGTGGTTTTTTTGCATTGAAGGGGTTTCTTGGGTGGGGGTGACCTTAGTTATGTTGTGATGCCTCTTCAAAACGTCCTGGTCATTACGGCACTCCTTCTTCAGGTCTGGGTTGGGGAAGGGGGGAGCCCCATGTGGTGGAGGCCCCGAGCCCACCACTGGCATCCAGTCTACACTCCTCACTATGTCCCCAGAAGCAGGGCGTCCCAAGGTCTCCCGCTGTGGGGTCCTGGACCAGTGAGCTGTACACTCCAGAGCCTTGTCCAAGGAAGAGCCTAGGAGTGAGGGCTTCCTTGAGGGACAGTGCCGAGCACTCCTTGCATTCCCAGCCCCTCCCAGCATCCCAGCCCTACAGCAGCCCCCTCCGCCATGAACCCCAGTACTTCTCACACTTTGTGTTAGCAGGCAAACGCACGCTGGAGGGTGAGGAAGTTGAGTAGAGGCAGGACACAGAGTAGTCAGGGTCCCGGGGTAGGCCAGCCAAAAGAGGGTCGCTGTGAGTAGGGAAGCAGTGGCTGCTTTGAGATAAATCCCCATGTCCCCGCTGCCCCCAGACCCTTCCTGACATTCCAGAGATATCTCAGCCCGAAACTCAAGGCTTCTCTGTTATGGTAGAAGCCAAAGCTGAATGAAACATGGTCCCAAAGTCAGGTATGGCCAGGCACAATGGCTCACACCTGTAATCCCAGCACTTTATGAGGCTAAGGCGGGAGGATCATTTGAGGTCAGGAGTTCGACACCAGCCTGGCCAACATGATGAAACCCTGTTTCTACTAAAAATACAAAAATTAGCCAGGCTTTCTGGTGGGTGCCTGTAATCCCAGCTACTTGGGCGGCTGAGGCAGGAAAACTGCTTGAACCTAGGAGGCAGAGGTTGCAGTGAGCCGAGATTATACCACTGTACTTTAGCCTGAGCAACAGAGGGCGAGACTTGTTCTCCAAAAAATAAAAAATAAAATAAAGATGATCCCAGCCCCAAGGTTTGGGCAGGGCAGCAAGAAGGACCCAGAAGACCCCAAAGTAAAATATCAGGCCTCAGGCCAGGTGCGGTGGCTCACGCCTGTAATCCCAACACTTTGGGAGGTCGGGGTGGGAGGATCGCCTGAGGTCAGGAGTTTGAGATCAGCCTGACCAACATGGTCAAACCCCATCTCTACTTAAAGCACTAAATTAACCAGGCGTGATGGCACACGCCTGTAATCCCAGCTATTTGGGAGGCAGAGGCAGGAAAATCACTTGAACACAGGAGGCAGAGGTTGCAGTGAACCGAGATCACGCCATTGCCTCAAGCCTGGGCAACAAGAGCGAAACTCTGTCTCAAACAAACGAACAAACAAAAACTACTCAGCATATCTTCAGTAAAATCTTCCTTAATCCTTTTTTAGGCTTCTATTTTCTGAGCACCTAATTGAGTGCTGGGCATCCCTAAGCACTCACTGGATCTTCACACCCACCCTGTGATGTACACATTTTTCTTCTGCCTGAAATGTCCTAAGCTGCCCCTTCAAGAGTCACTGCCTCAGGGAGGTCCTCACTTCCAGGGGCAGCTGAACATAATGGTTAAGCAGGGAAACTCTCCAGCTAGATGGCCTGGGTTCAAATCCTAGCTCTGTCCCTTCCCGCTGTGTAATGCTGGTGGCTTTCCTGAACCTCTCCATGCCTCAGCGTCCGCAACTATAAAAACGGGAAGTAAGCTGGGCACGGTGGCTCACGCCTGTAATCCCAGCACTTTGGGAGGCCGAGGCGGGTGGATCACGAGGTCAAGAGCTCGAGACCATCCTGGTCAACATGGTGAAACCCCGTCTCTCCTAAAAATATAAAAAAATTAGCTGGGCATGATGGCACGTGCCTGTAGTCCCAGCTACTCAGGAGGCTGAGGCAGAAGAATTGTCTGAACCCAGGAGGCAGAGGTCGCGGTGAGCCGAGATCGCGCCATTGCACTCCAGCCTGGGTAACAAGAGCGAAACTCCGTCTCAAAAAAACAACAACAACAACAAAAAAAACGGGATGCTGGGGCCCGGCGCAGTGACTCATGCCTGTAATCCCAGCACTTTGGGAGGCTGAGGCAGGCAGATCACGAAGTCAAGAGATCGAGACCATCTTGGCCAACATGGTGAAACCCCATCTCTACTAAAAATACAAAAATTCTCTGGGCATGTTGGCGATGCCTGTAGTCCCAGCTATTCGGGAGGCTGAAGCAGGAGAATCGCTTGAACCCAGGAGGCAGAGGTTGCAGTGAGCCAAGATCGTACCACTGCACGACAGCCTGGCGACAGAGCGAGACTCCATCTCAAAAAAAAAAAAAAAAAAAAAAAAAAAAGGGGCGGGCGCGGTGGCTCAAGCCTGTAATCCCAGCACTTTGGGAGGCCGAGACAGGTGGATCACAAGGTTGAGAGATCGAGACCAACCTGGTCAACATGGTGAAACCCCGTCTCTACTAAAAATACAAAAAATTAGCTGGGCATGGTGGCGCGTGCCTGTAATCCCAGCTACTCAGGAGGCTGAGGCAGAAGAATTGCCTGAACCCAGGAGGCGGAGGTCGCGGTGAGCCGAGATCGCGCCATTGCACTCCAGCCTGGGTAACAAGAGGGAAACTCCGTCTCAAAAGAAAAATAATAATAATAATAATAAAAGGATGTCATAATATCCACCTTACTGGGCTGTTGTGATTAAATGAATTAATCCATGCCAGTGCGTGGTATACAGTAATGGGAATCTGTGTTTGCTCTGAAATGTCACGCTGAGAACCTGTGATTTAGGGACCGTAGGAAGCCTGGGAGGCTTGGAGGCGAAAAGGAGAGGCATTTGAGAACCAGCTCAGGTCCCCAATCGTGTCTCCTCTCTCCCCGCCCACCCCGGTTTTGCTTCCGCGTCCCTCTAGGGAAACTAATTTAGGAGAAGGGGCGGGGTCATCAACCTGGCCCCGCCCCCTGGATTGTGAATTTTCCACCCTCCGGGCTATAGACGCCCACCTACCACATTCCACCTGTTCATGATCTCCCATCAGGGACCGCGAAGCCAGGCCTCAGCTGTGACGCTGAAATTTGATCCCGCGGGGACACCATCGCATTAAAAAGCTCAAAGGCTAAAGGAGTCACAGAGAGGGGTGTGGCCGGCATTTTAGTTCCGCCCCTGCCGTAGTAGCCAAAGGCCTCATTGGCGCCTTCACGCTTAGTACCCGCGGTGTAATTGGATAAAAGCCCGTGGAGGGGGCGGGATCCCAGGTGAGTTTCTACCAATCGATTAGTCAGTCCCCAAGAGGGCGGGACAGAAAGCTGCAGATTTACGATCCGATTGGTTTCGGGCTCAGCCGGGAGGCGGGACGAATTCTTGGTTGGGGGAAACCCACCAGGGGACACGGTGGAGGAGGGGTCACTGTCCACCCGGGGGCGCTGGAGTGAGGTACCGAATTCAGCCCTTTTGGCCCCGGCGCCTCTGTTCTCGAAATCCGGGCGCTGTGGGTTGAGGTCCCGGTTCCTAACGGTGGGATCGGTGTCCTCGGGATGAGATTTGGGGTTTCCTCGGGGGCTTTGGGGAGCTTGACCTTACATCTGGGATTCTGTTATGAGAGGGGTGGTCTTGGCTGTCGGACCTGGATCCCTGCGGTGATATTTGGGAGTTAGTGGGATGGTCTCTGAAAACCTAGGGCTATGAGCTGGAGCTGCTGGGGCTGAAATTTGGGGGACTCTGAAGTGACATGGAGATTGAGGTCCAGACAGCCTGAGATCTTGAGCGCTGACATTTGGAGAGATGGGGTCGAGGGTTGTCTTTGGGCCCTGACTGCTTCGGGCCTTTCTCACTCTCATTCCTGGGCCGCTTTGCCAGAATCTCTGATGGATTGGCCCTTACCCTGTCCCCGAGCGGGCTCACGGGGTCTGAAGGCCACGCACGAGGCAAAGTTAAAGTTCTGAGCCACCCGGTGCCTCCTTCCCAGGGCTGCAAGATGGAGGAAGGCGGTAACCTGGGAGGCCTGATTAAGGTGGTCCATCTACTGGTCTTGTCAGGTGCCTGGGGCATGCAAATGTGGGTGACCTTCGTCTCAGGTAGGGACCCTCAGCTTGGACATCATGGGTACCTGGAGTGGGGATGGAAATAAGAGGGGAACCTGGAAGTGCCCTAACATCCCTATGACCCCATATCCTGCAGGCTTCCTGCTTTTCCGACGCCTTCCCCGACATACCTTCGGCCTAGTGCAGAGCAAACTCTTCCCTTTCTACTTCCACATCTCCATGGGCTGTGCCTTCATCAACCTCTGCATCTTGGCTCCACAGCACGCCTGGGCTCAGCTTACATTCTGGGAGGCCAGCCAGGTACGTGGGCTTGAGTGCCACTACCCTCTGGAGACTTGTTCTCAAGACCCCAGTGAGCACCTATGGCTACACCTTTTCCAGAAAAAAAAAAAAAAAAAAGTGCCCCTTTTTCCTAGTGGATACAAAGCTGAGCTCTTGATACCTTTGAGCAGTGCACAGTCTGTACAACAATCTCTATTAGCCCTGTCTGTCCCCCTCAGCATCTCTCTACTAGCTGCTGTTCCCTCTCTTCCTGCTGGAAGGGCCTGCTGCCAATCTGTGGTGACTCAGCTGAGCTAGGATATTGACCCCAGCTTATTGTTTAAAAACCAGCCCGACTGGGAATTTATGGTTTCCTACCCCCTTCCACACATTTTTCTGGCCACAAGGCAATAAACCATCTCTGCATCTCAGATTTCTCGACTCTAGCCTTCCCCTGCCTGCATTATGTTCAACAGATGTGGGCAAGTGAGACCTGATAGGTTTTTCAAGAATAATCTCATAAAGACAGGAGGGGATTATAGGTAACCAGAACTTCACAGGCTATTTTTTTCTTTCTTTTAATTTTTTTTTTTTTTTTTTTTTTTTTTTTGAGACGGAGTTTCGCTCTTGTTACCCAGGCTGGAGTGCAATGGCGCGATCTCGGCTCACCGCAACCTCTGCCTCCTAGGTTCAGGCAATTCTCCTGTCTCAGCCTCCTGAGTAGCTGGGATTACAGGCACGAGCCACCATGCCCAGCTAATTTTTTGTATTTTTAGTAGAGACAGGGTTTCACCTTGTTGACCAAGATGGTCTCGATCTCTTGACCTTGTGATCCACCCGCCTCGGCCTCCCAAAGTGCTGGGATTACAGGCTTGAGCCACCGCGCCCAGCCTCTTTTAATTATTTTAATGAAACAGGCTCAGAAGGTATTCAAATATTTAAATAAAATAGAGATGGGGTTATAGCAATGTGAGAATGGCAAAAACATTTTTCTTAATTATGAAAATAGAGATGAGAGTCTTGCTGTGTTGTTCAGGTTGGTCTTGAACTCCTGGCCTCAAGTTATGCTTCCACCTTTATCTCTGAAAGCACCAGGATTACAAATTATGGGCATGAGCCACTATGCCTGCCTTCAGATACTTTTTGGTTTTGTTTGTTTGTTTGTTTGTTTGTTTGTTTGAGACAGGGTCTTGCTCTGTCTCCCAAGCTGGAGTGCAATGGTGTGATCTTGGCTCACTGCAACCTCTGTCTCCTGGGTTCAAGCAATTCTCGTACCTCAGCCTCCTGAGTAGCTGGGATTAGAGGCAGGTGCCACCACACCCAGTTAATTTTTGTATTTTTAGTAGAGACAGGGTTTTGCCATGTTGGCCAGGCTGGCTGGGACTCCTGACCTCAAGTGATCCACCCACCTCAGCCTCCCAAAGTGCTGGGACTATAGGCATTGAGCCACCAAAGACTTTTTATTCACTCCCTGTGGGTCCAGTGTCAGCTTCTCGGGTCTGGGCTGTGGCCATTGAGGCAAGAGATCCTACCCTGGGGACTTCCAGTCTCAGTATCAGAGGAGAGGAGGCTCAGGAGATTTTGCGGGGGATGGAGGAGGTGGGGATGGAGGATTTCCTTCAGAGCTGCCAGTTTCAGAGTAGGAGAGCTGGAGCTCTGCCTTGGGGCCCTCAGTCTGGGTTCAAGGAAAGACAGGGAGGCAGGCTTTTGATCCAGTGCTGTCCCCACCCCCACCCCTGTGCTGTTGAGAAGGGCCCTCCTTAGGGCCCCTCTGGCGTCCCAGGCATGGCTTACCTTCTCCTCTGCTGTCCCTGCCAGCTTTACCTGCTGTTCCTGAGCCTTACGCTGGCCACTGTCAACGCCCGCTGGCTGGAGCCCCGCACCACAGCTGCCACGTGGGCCCTGCAAACCGTGGAGAAGGAGCGGGGCCTGGGTGGGGAGGTACCAGGCAGCCACCAGGGCCCCGATCCCTACCGCCAGCTGCGAGAGAAGGACCCCAAGTACAGTGCCCTCCGTCAGAATTTCTTCCGATACCATGGCCTGTCCTCTCTTTGCAATCTAGGCTGCGTCCTGAGCAATGGGCTCTGTCTCGCCGGCCTGGCCCTGGAAATAAGGAGCCTTTAGCATGGACCCTGCATGCCAATAAATGCTTCTTTGGAAATGGCTACTGTCTTTTTTTTCCCCCACATGAGAAGCAGGGGGAGGGGCAGGCAAGGGTAGAGCCGAGAGCCTCAGCTTCCCCATTCATGAAGCACGATGATTTGGAGTATCAAACATCCCCCGTCCCCCGTTAGTTTGTTGTTCATTACTTGATGACTCATCATAGAATTTAAGGGCTTGAAAGCTCCTTACACAATATTTGGTCCAAGGCTATGTTTTCACAGTGAGTACACAGGGACCCAGATGAGTGGCAGTGACCAGGCTGGGGTGGGAACCAAAACTTTGTAGGCCAGGCATCCCCAGACTTTTTACACAGGGGGCCAATTCACTGTCCCTCAGACCGTTGGAGGGCTGCCACATATTGTGCTCCTCTCACTGACCACCAATGAAAGAGGTGCCCCTTCCTGAAGTGCAGCGGGGGGGTGGGGGGGGCAGATAAATGGCCTCAGGGGGCCACATGCGGCCCGCGGGCCATAGTTTGGGGACGCCTGCCGTAGGCTCTGGGTTGTCTTTTCCTGAACTGTGGGGCATAGGGAACAGTTGCATCTGGTTGATTCTCAACATTATAGCAGCACAATGAAAAGAAAAAAAAAGGAAGTGTTCTCTAAAATATTCCTATCTTTCCTAGGTAAATTTATCCTGAAATTAAAACCATTATGGAACATTTCCTTATATGTATATTCCAGGTAGGTCATATTCTGAAAATGTGAAATCTTTCTTTTTCTTTTCTTTTTTTTTTTTAAAGAAAGAAAGAAAGAAAGAAAAAAGAATAATAAAAATTAAATTTAAAAAAGAATAAAGAAGAGGAAGAAAGAGAAAGAGGAAGAGGGAGAGAGAACAGGGGTGTTGCTTTATTGCCCAGGCTAAAATGCAGTCTAAAAATGGGTATGCCTGTAATTGTGCTTAATAACAGAGACATGAAAAAAATGAGGGAAGAAAATAACAAACCAGCAGCCAACCAATATTTCATTTAAACCTGTAAGTAGGTGTGATGTGGTACTGATAAGAGTGTATATTTTGTGTATTTAAAGTGGAGAGTTCTATAAATGTTAATTAATTTTACTTGTTCCTGATCTGAGTTCAAGTCCTGGATGTCGTTAATTTTCTGTCTAATATTAATGTTGAAGTCTCCCACTATTATTGTGTGGGAGTCTAAGTCTCTTTATGAGTCTTCTATATCTGGGTATTCGTGTATTGGGTGCGTATATATTTAGGATCTTTAGCTCTTCTTGTTGCATTGATCCTTTTATCATTATACAATGTCCTTCTTTGCTTCTTTTGATCTTTGTTGCTTTTTTTTTTTTTTTTTGAGACGGAGTTTCGCTCCTGTGACCCAGGCTGGAGTGCAATGGCACGATCTCGGCTCACCGCAACCTCCGCCTCCTGGGTTCAGGCAATTCTCCTGCCTCAGCCTCCTGAGTAGCTGGGATTACAGGCACACGCCACCATGCCCAGCTAATTTTTTGTATTTTTAGTAGAGACGGGGTTTCACCATGTTGACCAGGATGGTCTCGATCTCTTGACCTCGTGATCCACCCGCCTCAGCCTCCCAAAGTGCTGGGATTACAGGCTTGAGCCACCGCGCCCGGCTTTCTTTGTTGTTTTAAAGACTATTTTATCAGAGGCAAAAATTGCAACTCCTGCTTTTTGTTTATTTAGTTATTTTTGCTCTCCATTTGGTTGGTAAATCTTTCTCCATCCCTTTGTTTTGAGTCTTTGTGTATCCTCGCATGTGAGATGGGTCTCGATGCAGCATACAGATGGGTTTTGGCTTTTTATCCAATTTGCCTGTCTGTGTCTTTGGATTGGGGGATTTAGTCGATTTAAATTTAGAATTAGTAATAATATATGTGAGTTTAATACTGCCATTTAAGGTTAGCTGGCTGTTTTGCCCACTAGTTAATGTAAATTCTTCATTATGTTGATGCTCTTTACTTTTTGGTATTTTTTAGAAAGGCTGATACTGGTTGTTCCTTTCTATATGTAGTGGTTCTTTCAGAAGCTCTTGTAAAGCAGGCCTGGTGGTGATGAAATCTCTGAGTGCTTGCTTGTTCACAAAAGGCTTTATTTTTCCTTCGCTTATGAAGCTTAGTTTGGCTGGATGTGAAATTCTGGGTTGAAAGTTTTTTTCTTTAAGGATGTTGAATATTGGCCCCCACTCTTTTCTGGCTTGTAGGGTTTCTGCTGAGAGATCTGCTGTGAGTCTGATAGGCTTCCCTTTGTGGGTAACCTGACCTTTATCTCTGGCTGCCCTTAGTATTCTCTCCTTCATTTCAACCCTGGTGAATCTGATGATTATGTGCCTTGGGGTTGCTCTTCTTGAGGAATATCTTTGTGGTGTTCTCTGTATTACCTGGAGTTGAATATTGTCCTGCCTTGCTAGGTTGGGAAAATTTTCCTGAATAATATCCTGAAGCGTATTTTCCAGCTTGGATTCATTCTCTTCGTCACGTTCAGGTACACCTATCAAGTGTAGATTAGGTCTTTTCACATAGTCCCATATTTCTTGGAGACTTTGCTCGTTCCTTTTTATCCTTTTTTCTCTAATCTTGTCTTCTCATTTTATTTCATTAAGTTGGTCTTCGACCTCTGATATCCTTTCTTCTGTTACTGGAATGCACTCGTTCTCCATCAGGCCTTGTTCCGTTGCTGATGAGGAACTGTGATCCCCTGCTGAGGGAGAGGCGGTCTGATTTTGGGTATTCTCAGCCTTTTTAGGCTGGTTTCTTCCCTTCATTATAGATTTATCCATCTGTGGTCTTTATAATTACCGTCTTTGTAATTGGGTTTCTGAGTGGACGTCCAACTTGTTGATTCGCAGCACTGGAATCTGAGCAACCCACTGTGCCAGCCAAAACAGCGGCGTTAAGACCGATGGTGCTTTTCTGACTCTGCACCAAGAACCGCCACTGCGAGACGCCGGCAAAACCACCTCGCTGGTCACAAGAGTCGCGCTGACGACCTGTGGGGCTCCTCCACTGGGAATCTGCTGGTACGTGAGCAGCAAGAATTCATGTGAAAATGTGGCGTCCTCTCGTTCTCTGCGCTTTCACTGGCAGCTACAATCCCAAGCTGCTAGTAATCAGCCATCTTGGATCTCTCTCCAAGTGTCAGGCATTGCAGCTGTAAGCCTCTCCTATAATGATGCCCATTTATTGAGCACCTGCTGTATACCAGACATGTTAACGAGTGATATATCATGTATTATTTGTTTTCTTTTTTTTTTTTTTTTTTTTTTTTTTTTTTTTTTTTTTTTTTTGAGATGAAGTTTCACTCTTGTTGCCCAGGCTGGAGTGCAATGATGCAATCTCAGCTCACCGCAACCTCCGCCTCCTGAGTTCAAGTGATTCTTCTGCCTCAGCCTCCCAAGTATCTGGGATTACAGGCATGTGCCACCATGCGCAGCTAGTTTTGTATTTTAGTAGAGACGGGGTTTCTCTATGTTGGTCAGGTTGGTCTTGAACTCCTGACCTCAGGTGATCCACCCACCTCAGCCTCCCAAAGTGCTGGGATTACAGGCATAAGCCACCGCACCCGGCATTTTGTCTTGTTTTTGACGCAGGGTCTCGCTCTGTCACCCAGTCAGGGGTGCAGTGGCATGATAGCTCACTGCAGCCTCCAGCTTCTGGGCTCAAGCAATCCTCCCACCTCAACCTCCCAAGTAGCTGGCACATGCCACCAGCCCCTGATGGTTCTGATCCTAGAGTACAATCATATTTCCCACCCCAATGACATTGGGGGTGGCCATGTGACTTGCTTTGACCAATTAAATGTGAGCAGAGGTGGCATGTACCCCTTCCAAGGAGAAGTACTGCAAAACAGTGCATAAGTTGCTGCATTTTCTCTTCACGAACCACCATCATGGGAAGCAAACCTTAGCTGTTGGGCCCATGGAGTCTTGGGGGTGCTTGTTACTAAGCATAATCCAGTGCCTCCTAACTAACCCACTTCATCCCCATTCATCCACGTGGCAGCTCTTGGGGCAGCTACTTTTGTTACCGTAAGGCAGTGGGGATTCAGAGGTTCAGCAAATCGAGTGAGGTGAAGTTGCTGGAATTCCAACAGCAGCAAAGCCTGAGTATTTCACAGAGAGATCCAACCCACTTTATTTTTTCTCTATTTAGAGATAAGGTCTTGCCTTGTCGCCCAGGCTGGAGAGCAGTAACACAATCATAGCCTACTGAAGCCTCTCTCTCCCAGGCTCAAGCAATCCTCTTGCCTCAGCCTCCAGACTAGCTATGACAACATGTGTGTGTCACCATGGCCAGCTAGTTAAAAAAATTTTTTCATAGATTCGGGATCTCTTTATATTGCCTAGGCTGGCCTTGAACCCTTGAGCTTAAGCAATCCTCCTGCCTCAGCCTCCCAAAGGTTGGGATCACAGGCATCAGACACTATGCCCAGCCTCATTTACTTTTTATTTATTAATTTTTTTTGAGACAGGATCGTGCTCTGTCGTCCAGGCTGGAGTGCAGTGGCACGATCTCAGCTCACTTTAACCTCCACCTCCTGGGCTCAAGCAATTCCCCTGCTTCAGCCTACTAAGTAGCTGGGATTACAGGCACGCACCACCATGCCTGGCTAATTTTGTATTTTTCATTTTGTAGAGTTGGTGTTTTTCTATGTTGGCCAGGGTGGTCTTGAACTCCTGAACTCAAGTGGTCCACCAGCCTCAGCCTCCCAAAGCACTGGGATTGCAGGCATAAACTACTGAGCCCGGCTCTCATTTATTTTTATTTATTTATTTGAAACAGGGTCTTGCTCTGTTGCCAAGGCTGGCGTGCTGTGGCGCAATTGCGGCTCACTGCAGCCTCAATCTCTTCAGCTCAAACAATCCTCCCATCTCAGCCTCCCAAGTAGCTGGGGTTACAGTCACACACCACCACACCTGGCTAATTTTTGTTATTTTTAGTAGAGATGAAGTCTCCTTATGATGCCTAGGCTAGTCTCAAACTCCTGGCCTCAAGTGATTCTCCTGCCTCATCCTCCCAAACTGCTGGTAT